TTGTCGTAAACATGACAAATAAATTGTTGCACATTGTCTGGAAGCCTCTTAAAGTGTTTTTGCCATGCACGTCCTTCAAATACAAAAAGTCAAAGAAAGCATTTTTATATTTAAGAAATTTGATATAATACACATGAGTTTATCAATTTTGTCACATAAATGACATTTTCTTTGGACTTGAGTTATCTAAAATGAAACAGGAAGTGACATCAAAGGGGAACTCTTAAAAAAGGGAATTCCCTGGTTTTTGTTTACTGAAACAATTTTTGAACTCTAACTCTTCTCTCTGATGGTTACTGAAAATTAAATTAAAGCATTATATTCTTCTCTGCAGTCTGTAACTGTCGGCCGTTGTAGCAAAGCTCTGTTCACGCTCAATCATTTCCCTTTGACATCACTTCCTGTTACTTCACATGCAAATATCCCAACATCTGTTCATCTCAGGCCGCATTATCTTTTTATAACAATATGTTATTAATGTTATCCTTCCAAAAATGCATTCAAGTTTGTTACAAAAAATTTGTCACAGACACTTTAATGTTACATGATATATTGTAATTTCAGCATGAAGACATTGTTTGATTTAAAGGAAATGCTAGCTAATATAGTGTACGTTTCTTGAGCGTTTTTTTTTTCCTCCATCATCCCTTGTGAGTTTGAATTAAGGGCAAAGGGATGCTCAAATCTGTTTATTGTAAGAGTTATTCCTGGGAAATGGGATTCACCCTTTCCCACTTATTCTGCATTTTTGTGCCCACTTTTCCAACCCCCCGAATACACTCGCGTGTCTCTGTCTTTGTCTCTGGTTTGTGTCTTCTGTCATCGCTCCTCTTCGGCCGTCTGGATTTAGTTCACTGCTTCATCGATAACAAAAGAGTCACTTTAGAGTACGAGAGCCTCTTGAGGTAGATTATAGCATTTCCAAAAGTGTCAGTCAGAAGAGCTGAAGTGGTAACTGAACGGATGTTRTGTGCGTAGYAAGTTCCATCTGGTTAATTGTTARCATGAGCTGCTGTAACAARGTGGAAGAAATTGGCTTGAAAATGRGCAGTTATGTTTCAGACACGTCATTCATGAATTAATCGGCTGGCATGTCCAAATGTCCTTCAATTTTAATTTCTTCTTTCTCCGAGAACGAGCAGAGATCAATTATCCTCGTGTGTGCATAAAGATTAATTTCTCTAATTACCAACAACTTGCACACAAGATTGGAGAACAACACTCTTAGCCTTTGTAACTCTGTCTGGGTTTTCACTAAAGTTGAGGCATTCCTGAAAACTACTCAGCTGTGGTTAGAATTAACCCCAAGGTGGATTGGGTTTAAAAACGGGCTTAATGAGACAAAGGCTGCTTCTCTGTGATCAATGTCTGAATGCATTTCTTAGGAGCTTAGTTGTCAGAAAGCTGCCTATTTAGATCTGGAGGCTTTTAAGTGCACATTTTGTTGTGTTTATTCTGGGCTTTGGAAACCCAAACCAAATAAGGAAATCCTGAAAAATCCATGTTCTTCTGGCTGCTAAGTTTTGTTTTTATCTTAGAGCTAAAAATGGCTAAAAGAACATTGTGTATCTGTGTGAAAGATAACCAACATTGTGGCAGAAATTATAAGTGTTTCAATACTTAATGAAGAATTTCTGGGCCAATAACGGGAAAAAATATTGTGTAGTGAGATTTGAAAAGAGTAAAAGGCTTGTCAAGGATGATCTAGTGCTAAACCTAAAACCTGGTCAGTAGAGGTATGTAAGGTAAGTCAGAGTCTGGTCCGACACTGCTTGGTTCCGTTGGTGTCCTGGTATGTGTTCGTTTGATTACGGGTCATGGGAGGCCACAGGACCACGGTGGTTCAGGCATCGTCAGGCCTCTCAGATTTCAGAGCTGAGCATTCCTCTCTCGACTGCTCCATAGCTGCGAAAACCGCAAAACAGCTCCGACAACAAACACACGAAGCCACTGGGGGCAAAGACGGCTAACCTGAGGCTAATCAGCAACAGCAGTTTTCTCACTCGCAGAAGGATTTGTTCCCAGGTTTTTTTAGGATTCCCGGCTCAATGGGGGGATGCAGTGACTGTTTTTCCCGTCATTTTCCTCATCTCTTTTGTTTGTTTAGTTTCAAGTTGTGAAACCTCATAATTCCTGTTAAGTAGATGCAGCTCTGTTTATGTGTGTTTGAATGTTTATTTGACAGATCAACATTTTAAATGTTTTTTTGTTTGTTTCTCTCCACTCAGTAGGGTGTGGAAGGGCAGACGGGTTGGGTTTGGTTTAGCAGTTTGTAAAAGTATCAGTAGTGAAATATGCAGAGTGTAATAATTAGCATAATGAGGCTGTTTCGAATTATGAATTTTATCAACATTAAGGAATGAATATGCATAAAAATAGTCTGCCAAAAAAGACAATCTAATTAAAACTAAACACTCTTTTGTCAGAGTCATCAGACATAATTGATTGGTCACTAATTTGATCCTCTAGTTGGCAGTGGCACCAATCACCAGATGTTTTTCACTTTTTCCTCTTCTGTGTGGAAATGTGTACGCAACCTATAGAAACTTCATAGAAAATCTGAAGGTATTAAACTCCAGGTTTGGTGCGTTCAAGGTTACTAGTTGCCTCTGGAATGTTTCTGCAGGAGGTGTGGAGAGACGGCAGGAAATGGTTGCAGCGTAGAAACCAGCCAATTTAGGGATTTGAGTGTGATGGTGCAGATTCAAAGGGAACCACTTGCCTACCTGCTGCCACAACATAAACATTAGTTTTCCTCTGTTTGTAGCTGCCACAAAGTGTTGCTGTCTGTGTTTTGAGGTATTTGTGTACATAACTACCCCGAAGAGACGATCTGAATACGTCTGTTTGTTATCGTGTGTTTATGTCACAGCAGGTGCACACCCAGGCAGCTCTGGGGCTCTCTGAGCACTAAGGTTACACCATGTTCTCCACACCTAAATAAACCAGTGCTCTCTCCTGCTTCCTGTTCGTTAGCGTAAACCAGCAGCCTCTGAAATGGTTCAAGCCTGGAAGGTAAATGGGGAAATGTAGCGACGCCGTGTGAACCAGGACTGAGAAAATTAGGGATGCACCGATATGAAAATTTCAGCCTATATCGATATCCGATATAATTATTGCTGTTATGGCTGATAACCGATATTTACCAATATTACACAAACACACAAATTACATTATACATACGCACGAATACACCTGGGTCTTGTTTTGAGACCATAAATAAATGACCAGACCTCTGACATGGCTCCCTACTTCAGTTATTCCTGGCTTTGCAGCATAAATATCACTATCATGATCAAAGAGATGCTGCTCAACCAACCATATCCCCTCCCAAAACAGAAACACTAAGATAAAAAGTAGGAAATTAATATCGGATGTTAATTTCGGTCCAGTTTTACATATCAGACCATTATCAATATTCTAAAAAATAAACCAATATTGTCCGAGACCGATATTAATGCCGATATATAGTGTGCATCCCTAGAGAAAATGTTTAAAATTCAAGGTGACCTCAACACTTTGACATGTTTTCCCTTTTAACCCAAAAAACTTCAGTAAACCTTGTAGGTTTTTTTTTTTAATGATCTCACAAAAGTTTCAGTCACAAACAACAAGGTGTGTTCATAGAATGAGTCTGGACTCTGCAGCTTGTTCTCAAATACAAGGGGTTTTTCCAGCTTGAGATGATTGCTTATTGGAAATATTCCAGTGTGGACCCTGGGTCCAAAACACCGGACAGAGGACATGATTCAAGGAGTGTTCAGCAGGAATCACAGTAGTGGTGCGAAGTAGAGACACACACACAGAGCTTTTAATCATCGCAAAAGAGTTATTTGCTTCCTTTGATACAACATCAGTATAGTGCTGAACAATACAATATACGGCGGGTAAAATGAGTATTGAACACGTCACCATTTTTCTCAGTAAATATATTACTAGAGGTGCAAATGACATTAAATTTTCACCAGATGTCGGTAACAACCCAAGTGATCCATACATACAAAGAAATCAAACCATAAATGTCCAGAAATGAAGTTATTTGTAATAATGTGGAATGGCACAGGGAAAAAGTATTGAACAAATGTAGAAAAAGGGAGGTGTAAAAAGGCATGGAAAGCCAAGACACCAGCTGAACTCTCTCAGTAATTAAAAAGCAAGACTGCCCCTTGTCATTGCAAGTTAATATCAGCTGGTTCAGTCCCAAATGATGGCCAGG